TTTGTCTGCTCAAATGCTTCATTTATGTCAGTGTATACAGAAGTCTGAAGTACTCATGATATTTCCCTCTGCTTCAGCTCTGACACCTCCAGCCACTCCTCCTCATCAAATGTGGAAACCCCTGGCAGCTGTGGCACTGCTTGGGAAGAGCAAAGCCTCCGAAGCCTCCAAGTCGAGCCCCTCCAAAGTTATCCAGATAGAAGCTCGGCCTCTGCCCTCAGTCAGGCCACGTAGCAAACCCACGCTCGCTGCTGCCACTGTAGCCCCCGATTTGGCGTGCATGGATCATGACTATTGCCTTCCCAACAAAGGCACTCCCACTGCAGAGCCAGGCAAGCGTTGGAGTATTAAACAGCAGTCCTTTATCACCATTAAACCCATCAGGCAACATACTCAAACCACTACACAAACAACCCCAGCTGCCCTGGCATCATCTCTCCAATCTACCATAAATCAGGCGGTTTTAACCAAAACACAAGTTTGTCCAGTGAAGCCCCTGGAGCCCAAGGCAAATAGGTTGGACGAAAGCTCTGTTATGGAGACTCCAGATGCTTCTCCTACTCGGCCAGAGACTGAATTGAAGGAAAGGAGCCCGAGGAGAGGTCCGTTGGGAAGGTCATACCGTCGCCATGCTGCTTCTCGCACACCCAGCCCCAGATGTAGTTCTGAAGAGAGGCCCAGAGGTCGGTCTAGAAAAAGATCACATCATTCTCCCAGTCCAATGTCCAGCTGTTCAGAGTCAGACTCCGATTCTTCTAGATCTCGGTCTAGATCACACTCTCCAACAAAGAAAAGGTTTGTCCCAAAACATGTGTTTGATTCAGATGCATTAAACCTCTTCACTGATGTGTAATGATTTCCCTTTTCCTTCTTTTTGATTTTTAGGTATCGTCACCAGAGCAGTTCCAGCTCCTCGTCCCGTTCCTCCTATCAGCCTTCTGTGTCCCGCTCTCCTCCCAGAAGGAGAAGGTATTCCTATTCTTCTTCTCGTTCTGGCTCTTGGAGTCGCTCCAGGTCACGATCTCGGTCCCCTCAAAGACGGGATCAGTGGAGTAAAGGCAGACAATTGTACAGGTACAGTACTGTGACTTGGTAGCTGTTTCATTTGTGCCCTACATATACTTTGAGAAACCTTGAAATGACGAGTAAAGGCTTCATCTTTTCTTCTTCAGTCCCTCATATCGGCCCAGCTATGGTCATGCTCCAAAGCCAAATGCGGAAGAGGTGAAGAGACGCAAGGAGAAAGCCATTGTAAGTTAATTATTCTAGGTATAATTAAGTGAAATGATTCCAGTAGTTATGATGTAAAACTGATGGACTCTCTTCCAGGAGGAGCGCCGCGTTGTTTACGTTGGTAAAATCCGGGGAACGATGACCCAAAAAGAACTAAAAGAGCGCTTCTCCTATTTTGGCGAGATCGAAGAATGTACCCTGCACTTTAGAGACCATGGGTAAGTAAGCTCCTCGTATTATACATGCAAACATCACCACTTTTTCTTAGCATAGAGCTTTTGGGAAGGTTTTGTAAATGAGAAAGTTGCACTGTCTTTGAACCTTCTTGGTCTTGTCTATGACCTCTTAGGCCAAGCTACAGTGCTAAAGCAAATTCAGGCTTGTTCATAACTGGAGCTTCCTGGCATCACCACCAGGTGGCTCTTTTAAAAGCAAGTTACACCTTGAAGCTATGTGCGAGTCCTGTTGCTGCCCTCTCTGCTCAAACTAAAAATGAGGAGGAATTAAACTTTTGGTCATCTGCCACAGGGACAACTACGGCTTTGTGACTTATTACAACACCAGGGATGCTTTCACAGCGATTGAGAATGGAAGTAAACTGCGCAAGCCTGACGAGTTGCCGTTTGATCTCTGTTTCGGTGGAAGGAGACAGTTCTGCCAGAGCAACTATGCTGACTTAGGCATGCTTTTAAATTTCCAGATGCAAAAAAAGTTTCTGCATAACTCTTTGATTTTTTTTTTTTCCTCTTCTTATTTTTAATGCAATTCCGTCTCTATAATCATTTCAGATTCGAGTAGAGAGTACGAGCCAACGCCTGCAAAAGGCAAGTATCATGCACTAGACTTCGACACTTTACTGAGGCAGGCCCAGCAGAATCAGAAGAGGTAACGAGAGGCCTGCAGCAGGACGCAGCAGATATTTACCTCAGAGCTGACGATGGCTCCTCACCTGCAACACTGTTTACAGTTTAGCTGTTGCATTAGGGATTTGTTTTTTGTTCTTTTTGTAATGTTGTTTCTGCAAGCTAACACCTTCTATTGAAGTGAAGATTTATAATGAAAAAAGCAAAAGGAGGCAAAAAAATTGAATAATGGAATAAATACAACAATAATTTTTAAAGTTTATTTAAATGTACAATTGAACTTGAATTGAATGGAGAGGGAAATGTTTTTAAAAGGGTGGAATAAGTAGAATGGCGCTCCCTAATTATTGGGAGGAGGATGTATTACATTGTAATGTATTACAGACCTCAATAAAAAAGAAAAATAGTTTTCTTTTTTTTTCTCTCACTGTTTTTAATTAAATTTGAATTTATAATTTTTCTGTGATGTAATTGTTAATTTCATGGAATATGTGATGGTTCAGACTTGGTGCTTTGGTTTCAGGGTCCGAGTGAATTCATCAATTCAAGTTTTGTAATTCTGAAGAAGAAAAGAGTTGAGTACAATAGCAGTGGCTCATTTCTGCTAAGCGTCCCAGTGGGCTGGTATAAATAATAATGGATTGTATTAATATAGCGCTTTTTGGGGCCCTCAAAGCGCTGTACAATTCCACTATTCATTCACTCTCACATTCACACACTGGTGGAGGCAAGCTACGGTTGTAGCCACAGCTGCCCTGGGGCAGACTGACAGAAGCGAGGCTGCCATATCGCGCCATCGGCCCCTCTGGCCATCACCAGTAGGCGGTACGTGAAGTGTCTTGCCCAAGGACACAATGACCGAGACGGTTCGAGCCGGTTACAAGACGAACTGCCAACTCTTTGAGCCACGATCTAAATGAAAGAACCCCAGAACTGTTCAGCTAAATGTGCTTATTAATGTCATTGGTTAAACTTGAGATTTAACCAGCATTTCCTGCTGTGGTAATCATTGTGTTTTCTAAAAAGGTGAAATTCTCTCCCTGTCATAGCTTTCTGCACTACCCCAATGAAAAAGAGCCATGTTTAATATTAGGTGTCACACTGCCACAAGCCTGTTGCATGGATTTTGTCATATTTTTAATGTGTGCTGCAAAGTTTTCTATTCAGTTACATTTTTAGGTCACTTTATACCATAAGTTAAAGATCTTACTGTATTGGGGAGAGAACCCAAACAATTTAATGAGTCTGCACTGTCACGAAGTGCTGTGACAGCGCATCATAGCAAGGGCTACAGCATACTAAGCCTATGGCACCCTAACCTGATCCAGCCCAAACTGTAAGCTTTATCAAAAACAAAGGTTTTAGCCACATTTAAAGGGTACAGAGGGTGTCTGCCTCCTAAATCTGAACTGGGAGCTGATTCCACTGGAGAGGGGCCTGATAGCTAAATATGAAAGTTTGTTTCCACCACTGAACCAAAACGTAATACTTTGAACCCCATCCATAATTCCAAATTTCAACTAACTTACTTCAAATATCAAGTTATTTTCTCAGAGAACGGAGTAAGTCGAACTACTGCGATAACCTGAAATCTTGACTACGGATGGAAATTTTTCTTCAGTGGTGGAAATGAGCTTCCATAGCTGAAAGCTGTGCCTCCTGTTCTACTTTTAGAAACTCCAGGAACCACATGTAGGCCTGCAGCCTGAGAGCAAAGTGCTTTATTAGGATAATATGGCACTAAGGTCTTCAAGATATGCATTTAACTACTGCAGAGACTCCACCCATCCTACATCCACCTGTTTGACCACTGCCCTCAGGGAGATGCTACAGGTCCAGCCAAACCAGGACTAACACACTGTTCCAGTTTTTTTCCACAAGCCATCAGCTGTACTGAACACGCACATCAGCACCTCTCACACATAAACACCACCACCACACAACACAAGTGCAATACCTCAAAGCAACCTTGCACATCTGTATAAAGCTTTAATATGTGTATAGTTGGCATTTTTAGATTTGTTTATTGTTAGCTACTTGTTTGTTTTATTGCTATTTATTATAAATGCTGATAGGAGAGGGATCTTGATATAACAGCTACCCACTATTTTAATCATTTGTTATATTCCTTTTGATACTCTTTTTTTTTTTTTTTTTACTCTTTATGCAATTCTTTCATTAACTTTTCTTGGCTAGCATCAATGACTGTGTAAAAAACATGTACAAATCTATTCAGGGCCATTGAATTTATTTTTTTGTCCTGACTAGTTGACCTAATCTTTGGACTCACCCCCCGGATATTGTGAAAACTCGCAACCCTGTTTTGTAGTCATTGTAGTAAAGCACGCTGTGTACTGTGGAAAAGTATAACTGGATTATCTTGACGATTTGGAACAAAGCATGCGCATTTTGCTGACACAGATCATAAACAGATGAGCAGCACCTCCCCTGTTTGAAAGTGGTGTTGGAGCTTAGCTGCATTCCTAATATGGGCTGGAATTTAAAGATATTACACAGCCGGCGAGATGTTCAACGCAGTCGACCAACAGAGCGAATAATTGCCACCCTCTTGTGTATTTGATAAATACGTGCACACTTTGTATCCCCGCTCATTGATAAATGAGAGAGATTGATGATGTTGTGGGTAATCACGCATAAACCAATCTGTTATTTAGCTTCATTATTGCTACATATCTGACTACTATTAAGTGTATTGAGTAAAAAAAACGGATGTCGTTATAATTTTGATGTACATTTTGCCCACAACTGGTTACAAAGGAGGCTAATCCTATCATGCCGTGAACTGAGGTGTAGGCTATATCTTTAACTGTGTAAAATCTTTGCGGTGTTTTGTCACGTACATCTAGTTGTGACTGGTTTGAACTGGTTTCGTGAGCATGCGCACTTGGTGTAAACAGGAAGAAACGACGTAAAGTAGGTCAAATCCACCCATAAAGAAGAGAAAATGCACGGACAGCCACGAGCGAGTGTTTGGTTTTTGTTTACATATTAGCCAAACTAAATGATGATTTGTATCACCTGATAGTAATTTATATCACAGCTTGTAAAACCAGTCAGGGTCTTTGTTTCGAAAACTCGATAGATTCCTTGCGTTAGCTAACATTAGGCTCAGAGTGACGCGGTTTATTTCCACCAGGTTTGCCTGGCAGCATTCGCCTGCTGACCTACATTTTAAAATATTCCCTGGGTTCGTCGCAAATTTCGTGACTTTTGTATCGAGCGAAACGTCGAAAAATGGTTCAAAAAGAAAATACGTTAGAGACTCCTCAAGTGGATGGTGAGCCGAGCCCCAGCCCAGTCTCCGGAGAGCCTTGTGCAGAGGTCCCTGGCCCGGTGGAAGAGACTGTGATCGGAGTCGAAACGACGGGCCTCAGAAAATTTATAAGCGGAGTCGTGGAAGGTAATGTTGGAGAAAGATTATGTATGTAGTTTGGTATCGTCACATATATAAATAAATAATAAATTTGTATCTTAAAATGCAAATATGCTGGTTAATAAAAAAAAATTACCCTTTAAAATTTCATAGGCTTACGTGTATATACAACACGATCTAGTTAATCGCATACAATCAGAAGCTAGGCGTCGAAATGCTGCAGTAATTCCGCTGTCTGTCTGTACATGATGAACACAGTGCTACACTTCATGAATTTAAAAGGGACGTCTTTATTTGGGCACATTCCTGAGTAATTCAGAAGATCAGTATTAAGCAGATTCAAGCACGTCGGCACCAAGGGGCAAACTGTCGAAGCGACTAAGCAGCTCGCTGTGCATGCAGGAAACGCACATTAGGACTGCAGGGTGCGTGGAAACTGAATGTCGTGTTTTCTAACGCAGGCTTTTATGGGCGGCCATGGACAATGGAACAGAGGAAAGAGCTGTTCAGGAGGTACTGTGGATCATTTAAGACTGCATGTTGACAGCATTATAGCAGGGTAACTCGGATTGTTTTAATGAGTCTGAAAAAAATGATTTTCACAGGCAGCAGAAATGGGGACTGAATACATACCTTTACGCACCCAAAGATGACTGCAAACACAGAATGTTCTGGAGGGAGCTGTATTCAGTGGAGGAAGCAGGTGATTACCAAGAATGTCGTTGGGGAGACGGGGGAATGATTGTATGATACTTTTAAAGTGAGCCAATTGCATATTAATTATAAATGCACAATAATTTACACTTTTGTCTTTCTCCTGTCTCCTAGAGCAACTCATGACTTTAATCGGTGCTGCTAATGAGCATGGGATAGAGTTCATCTATGCCATTTCCCCTGGATTAGATATTACCTTCTCCAACCAAAAAGAGGTTTCTGCACTCAAGAGGAAACTTGATCAGGTATTGCAGCATTTTTATGAAGAACACATTGAAATCCTTCTTGATGGATATCTACAGCAGTTTTCTGTATTTTACTATGTCATTTCTTCCCTTTCAGGTTTCACACTTTGGCTGCAAGTCCTTTGCCTTACTTTTTGATGATATTGACCACAACATGTGCCCTGCTGATAAAGAAGTGTTCAGTTCTTTTGCACACGCTCAGGTTTCTATCACCAATGAAATCTACCAATATCTTGGCGAGCCTGAAACCTTCCTCTTCTGTCCCACAGGTAACTTGTTTTCCTTGTTTTTTTGTACCTGCCTTATTTGCTCATTTTGTGTGTGTTTGCGCTACTTGCTCACTTATTTTTCTCACCGTCAAATTCAGAGTACTGTGGAACATTTTGCTACCCAAGTGTCCCTCAGTCCCCTTACCTCCACACAGTAGGGGAGAAGCTCCTGCCTGACATTGATGTGCTATGGACAGGCAAGTCTAACAGTTTTCCTTGAAATTGCAAACCTATTCATACATGTCTATGTTGAAGACTTAAAAAGAATAATTATTTGGATATGTTGACTTTTCTGTAGGCCCCAAAGTGGTTTCCAAAGACATCACAGTGGAGTCTATTGAAGAGGTGTCAAAAATCCTGAGAAGAGCCCCAGTAATCTGGGACAATATTCATGCCAATGATTATGACCAGAAGAGACTTTTCTTGGGTCCCTACAAGGGCCGCTCCACAGAGCTCATCCCCAGACTGAAGGGAGTCCTCACCAATCCAAACTGCGAGTTTGAATCCAACTTTGTAGCAATCCACACTTTGGCCACCTGGTACAAGTCTAATATGAACGGTGTGCGCAAGGATGTGGTCATGAGTAAGCAACAGAGACTTCTTTCTTTTGTTTGTTTAGTTATTCTGCAAATTTCAAAGCATACCACAGACAGAAAAGATCCAGCTTGAAATGAGTGGGTAAAATGTACTTCATTAAGCAATAAGGAAGGAGGGGAAAAATGAAGATCAGTATCAAATAATTTTATCAAAACCCTTTATGCCTTTGAGGCAAAGGGGTAATTTAACAAAAATAAAACACACAGGGTTTTGAAAATTTGGGTGGGGGTGTACTTATAGTTAGCTGGGGAAATGTAACACCCGATGTAAGGTTTATCGAAACTAGGAAAACATTTCCGCAGTCTGGTTTTAATATACTATACATCTATTTAAGCTAAGTAATGCTTATACAAGCGCACATGGAGTGAAAAGAATCCTGAGCATTGGATTTCTTAAACGCCTTTCATTAAGTTTAGGCCTCAGCTCCTCATATCAAAGTCTGAAGTCATGGGTAGGTACACAATCTTTAGTTACAAGGATTTTAAAGTTTCCAAAAGTGTCATTATCAGTATAATGCTTATTTTGTGTTGATGCAGTATACTCTCAGTATGAAGTTACTGTCATCTTGCACTGAAATCCAGATTATTAATGGATGTACTTCTCTGTTTTTTCTCTCCCCACCTTGCCCCTTTACCAGCTGATGGTGAGGACAGCACCGTTTCTATCCAGATTAAGTTGGAGAATGAAGGCAGTGATGAAGAACTTGAGACAGACATGCTCTATAGCCCACAACTTGCTCTAAAACTGGCTCTCACAGAATGGCTTGGGGAGTTTGGTGTGCCTCACCAATACAACAGTAAGTTTAATCTCCATTAATTTTTTTTTTGTTAATAGAGTTTTTAGCAGCATCACCTGAAATGCCTAAAAACCATACCGTATGCACTGACACTCTGTTCTCACAGGCCGGCAGGTGCCTCAGAGTGGTGCCAAAGGCACGGGCATAGATGTGTCATCCATGACTGCTCCCTCTCTTTGCTCCTCAACAACGGTCACAACTGTGTTCCAGCAGCCCATCATGTCTCCAGCAATGCCTGCTCTGTGCCTGGATCCAATCTCACTTCCTTTGGCAAAAAGACCTCAGGAGGAAGAGGAGGTGGAGTTTGCATTATGACACAGTTGTAGCACTTGTGTGACCTTAACTCAATTGCTAAAAGTACTTGTTTTCTGTTCATGCAGCTCATCACCCAGTAAAATAACCATTGGGTCATTGATTAAAGGGCTAATAATGAAAGTAATTGTCCTCTCTTTATAGTCTGGTACAATCCAGACAGAGGATTGTACCAGACTATCTACAGGTACTTTAACTTTTTACTGGGCATGTGCAGGTGGAGGTGGAAAAGAAGGATTCAGATGAGGAGCCCATGGAGATGGTGGTTGAGAAGCAAGATGAGGCAGAGCCAGAAGCCGAAGTCGACCCAGAAGAGAAGCATGCAGGTCCTATTTTAGCTGACAAGATGGCCGAGGACCTCAAACCTATGGATACAGACAAAGAGAGTCTGGCAGAGTCCAAATCTCCTGAGGAGTCAATTCAAGAGGACTCTGGTAATGATATCGCCCCTATGCAGACAGATGATCAGCTCAAACAGGTGCTGCAAACATTAGTGAGTCATTTCTCCTTTATATCTGCATTTGAAGGCAAAAACCAAATTAAAATGCTTGCAAAGTCTCATTGCTGATTTGGGTCCACAGGAAGTGTTTGTACCAGGGCCCAACGAAAAGGCACTGTTCACAGCAGAGCCTCTTACCCTGGAGGACCTGTGCTTGCTGGCAGAGCTCTTTTATCTGCCTTACGAACATGGACCCAAGGCCATGCAAATGTTAAAGGAGTTCAACTGGCTAAGAGCCAACAGCAGCGTCGTTAGTGTCAACTGCAAGAGGAGAGAATCTGAAAAGGTGGGTGATTTTACTGAAACACGCACATGGAGTGTGTTCAGAGAAGGAGGTCCATTAGATGGCTAGTCTGTTATCAACTAACCACGCTGTTCATGGTGCAGAAAACAAAATGGTGGCTGTGTAGTACCCATACTGCCCATTGGGTGGTGTGGTTATGACGGCAAATGGTGTGCTTGGACTACAGTTTAGTGCTGTGCTTTTTGTGTAAACTATGGCTTCCCTTTCTATGCAGCTTGTTTTGCTTTTAGTTACATATTCACACGTCACAGTGGAAAAGTACAGTTGTAAATAATTTCAACACTCATGGCCTATTGGGACACTTGTATATGATATGTCATAAGTGACATGAGTGGGGGGTTTTTTTTGGTTTTTTTGGGGGGGGGTTTTCTTCCTGCTACCACAACTCTTAAGTGGTTTAATGCTTGCGTTTTCCACCAGTATTTATCTTTTTCAAACATTGTGTTGAACACAGGTGACCGAATGGCAGTCACGGGCAGAAAAGTTTGAGGAGATGTGCTGCTCAGTCATCCAGATGTTCACACGGCTATCTAATACAGCTAACCGCACCATCCTGTATGACCTCTACTCTTACCTCTGGGACATCAAGAGCATCATTTCTATGGTCAAGTCTTTTGTCCAGTGGCTCGGTATGTATAAAGGGAACCACGGGGTCCTTATTCTTAGAGAGCAGTAGTTTAGCGTAGAGTCCATTCAAGTGTTGTAATCCTTTACCATTCTCAGGAACACAGTTGCATACAAATTACTAAAGCACATAATTTAAAAAAAAAAAAAAAAAAAAAAATGAAAGAACAAACAGTGTAATGATGGCTCATTTAGCTGCATGGTTTCCATTCTAGACCTGGACTATGTTATTTTTAAGAATGATATGAGACAACAATCTGAATAACAGTAATATTTCTAATCTTCTGCATCAGTTAATGTAGGATTAGTTTTTGGCAAATATCCCCAGCTGAAATTGGTAGCAGGTTATTTGATTAGTTTAGAAATGGGTTAGGTCAAATGCATCACATTTAAATGGATATAAATCTATTAATTGCGCTTTAATTTGTTGATTTTTTTCTTCTTTTTTCTAATCTGACTGAATGCTGCTTGCACTGCTGCTGTGCTCCCTTTTTATTCCACAACAATTTGCTCCATGTTTGTCTAAACTGAGTATCTGTGGAGAAAATGTCCCAGCAGGGTTACTGCTGCTTGCTGTGTATCCAGTAACATCACTGCTGCGTTCCCACACAGACACTTGCTTCCATTTCTCCGTCTGTGGGGATGGGCACAGGGGAAATCCCAACCCCCCTCCCTTCCTCCATGCCCTAGCGCGCACGCGAGCTTGGAGAGCAAGTTGACTGACTCACTGTGGAAGGCCATTCTGGTGCATAAACAAGGAATCAGAAAAATCTAAATTGTCCTTAATATGAATCGCATGCATATATTACAAGAAGGTTGTTGGATTTTTAAGCTACTGAATCATGTGCTCACTCTGTATCAGAGGAGAATGCATCACATTGTAAAAGAGGATATTCTTTCTTTCCCTCCCACTTTCATCTCTCTCTTAAATTAGTCTTTCAGGTGATGTCCTGTGATACAGCATGAGTGACATGGAGTCTTCTCATGACATCTCCATCTTTTCATGGAGTGTTTGTTTGTTAGTCTGAAGCACCAGCATGGCCTGTAGGTTACTCCCTGTAACCCAGTTTCATTCACAGGTTTCTGTCCTGTCTGGCTATATGGTAAAGCTGAGGTCTCTGGCCCACAGTACACAGCAGGCAGCATACCCACACTGGCAAATCCACATTAAAAGTCCACACTGCCGGCTTGATGCTTCAGTAAATGGTCTTAAACGCTCAAGCCTCACCAAAGAAGTTAAAGCCCCATAAATATAGTTACCTGCATGAAGTTCCCAAATATTGACTTCTGCTTTTGCTATCAGCATTCATTTCATCAGTCCCCATATTTTCCCCCCTAGTGGAAGCTGTGCAGCCGGCACTTAGTCACAACCTCCCTGGTTATTGCACTGAGAACACTTACTAATAACTATTTTCTACTGTTTTCTCCCTTCACTATGTACAGATGGAAGAATCCACAGTACAAGTTTCTACTGCTATTGGATCGACAGTGGCCGATGTATGCATATGCAGGCGTTGTCTCTTATGTTCATGTATCAAATTGATCTTTGTAGTTTTATTTTAAAGCTAAAAATTTAAAAGTAAAGGAAAGATTTGGAGGAAAGCAAGCTGCCCTCTGGATGAAGTCACATTTTGCGCAGCGATTTTAAAGTCTGAATACTAAGTGTTAACTCCCAAATTTCTCTTTGGCAGCATCTCTCTAACTTGTTTTTTTGTTTCTGTCAGTAGGCCTGTAGAATTGGCTCAGACCAGCCAGATGCACTCACTCAAGGGACCTTACACTTGGTTTTATTTATATTTAATATGTAATATTTGAGTGGACTCACCCTAAAAAAAAAAAAAAAGGGGGGGGGGGGTGTGGCAGAAAGACAAAAGAACAAATGTTCCATGTTATTCTGCATAAATGTCACAGTGCTGGATCGGTGCCGTTGCACTACATAATCGGCTAGTCTTTTGCGGTACCCTTTGTGGTTTTTAATCTGGATATCCAGGTTCCCAGTTCCTTCCTGTGGCTGCATCTGTATGCTGTGTTGTCAGTTCATCAAAGGAAATGTTTTAGGTATCAGGGAGAGATTTACATGTAAAGCACTGTTAGGTGTCCTGCACGCGCGCTGCATTTGTCTGGTCACATGACAGGGCTTCTTGTCAACCAGGGGTTGGTTTTTATTAGCAACTTGAATCAGAAGCTTGCTCATTTGTCTTTATATTGATTGGGTTTTAATAATAAGCTGAGAGGTCCTTTAAGTCTGGAAATGCTGATCATGCTGCCTCTCGTCTTCCTGGTTTTTAATGACTTGTGCTACCCCCCCCCCCCCCCCCGGTCATGTGACAAGGCAGATAAAATGAGAATGTGACTTCACACAAGGTGCTAATATCAGTGGGGTGACGGCAGCTAAAGCTTACTTTGGTAGCCCATAGACGGATTTTATATTATTTTTTATTTTTTTTTTTTTTTTTTATCCCCCTGCCCTCCCCCCCTCTGTATTGGTCATGAAGTCTGTCAGCTTCTCAAATGAGAATTACCCTCCTGAAACACTGAAAATGAAAGACCTGCATCAAATAACTTGCCACGTGGACACCATGTCACATGGAGCTTTTGGGTAACGTTTTGCATTTACAAAGGTGCAGAGCAGTTTTTTGTAAAAGTAATGTGCATCTTGCACCAGATTCCTTCTAGCATATATAAGCTTTAGATGCTTGAGCCCCATTTGATTGTAAAATATATTCTCTACATATAATTCCAAATTGGGTCCTTTTTTATGTTTTAATGATAAAAAAAAATAAAAATTCATAAATATTTTGCTATTAGATATATGACCCCCCTTCATTCTCATCTCCCCACTCCCTTCATCTGTATCAGAGAGCCCCATCCTGTGGTAACAATGTCCGCTTGGCTCTGCTCCTAACAGGGTGTCGTAGTCAGTCCTCAGCACAGTTCCTTAGAGGAGACCAAGAGCCATGGGCCTTTAGGGGAGGTCTAGCAGGAGAGTTCCAGGTATCTAATGCACCGAATTTACAGCAATCAAATGGAAAAAAAAAAAAGAGAGAGAGAGAGAAAAAAGAGTGCTGTGAGCAAAGGCGACGATGGTATTATGTGCATAGGTATGAAGGGGTTTGGTCTGTCAAAGGTGAGCTGATTGCAGTGAGTTATGCTCACGACATCCAGGCTCCATCCCCTCCACTTGATCTCCAAATATGTTTGTGCCCTGGCATTACTTTGGGATATTGGCAATATCTGTGAGGGGAGTGGGTGACCTGAATTCCATGCTGGGAGGGGAAAAAGACAAACTTAAAGCCAGTGTTTGGCGTGGCATCTTCTGATTGTGTTGCTGCTTCTGATCAATTTTGGTTTCTTTCAGCAACTGCTGAAGGAGATGCTGCTTTTCCCTGGCGCATGCAGCGCAAGCGAGTATGGTTAGGTTTTATTTTCATGACATATCATTTCTTTGCAGGAAAGCACAGCGCTCAAAGCCAGCCCTTTGCGAGCGCACGCGCAAGCATCGCAGCGCCAGCGAGAACGCAAGCATGTACGCGATGAGAGAATTCCATGATTAAACACATCAGTCCAGTCTAAAGTGGTGTTTCCAGCCCAGACTCCCAATGGCAACCAAAATGCTGTTGAGTGACTCAGTTGGCAATCATTTAATTCCCCGTTTTGGTTTTTTGTTGCTTGGAGTTCTCTCGGTCTTTCTGCGCTAGCATCATTATTTTTCTCAACAGGAGGGTCCTGCGCAGCGAAGTATTGCGATGCCTTACAAAAGGGAAAGGAGCATCTCCTTCAGCCAGTAAAACCTTAGTCAGACCAAAACGCGAGCCTTTTTTTTTTCTTTTTGTTATGTTTGCAAATGTCTGTTTGTAGTTGGTGCTGTGTTTCTTTAGCAAAAATGAGAAAGAAGTGAGGTTTGCTCTTGTTGTCCACTGTCAGGTCAACAAGGAACAACAGTTTATATACTCAAGTTGTCTTCAGACTCCAAAGCACTTTTCTGTCTTTAGTTCCTTTTGGGTTGATAGTGGTTCAACTTGGCAAACACACAGTGAGGCAGTCAGCCAGACTAGCACGACACCTTTTCCCTGTGAAACTGACCCTCCTTATTTTGATATCCACAGCGATTGTTGCCAATAGATGGGGCAAACGATCTTTTCTACCAACCTCCACCTTCATTGCCATCCTCAAAAATCTATACCATAAGGCCGTACTTTCCCAAAGATGAGGTGAGATACTTGTTGTTTTTGTTTGTTTTGTTTTTTTTTTTGTTTTTTTTTTTAAGTTAAGCCACACTCCTGTAGTCCTTTTTATAACAGTTGTCAAGCACGGCAAAATTGTCTTATCTTGAAGGAATTTCTTTAGCTTTGGCACGTTTACTTGTTAATTGATTAGGTTTGCTCATTAAATGTCACAAAACAGTTTGTCACCAGACCTCAGATATTTGTATAAGTATCCTGTCGTCTTCCCCTCATTTCACATAAGTGACAAAATGATGAAGCTGCAACATGTCTGTCTTGGACATCCACATGTTTTGTATGAAACTGATTTACTTCTGGAAAATCCCTTCTAACTAATATGTGACCATATTTTGTATTTCGTCACTTATTTAGTTCCTCTGAGTCTTTATTACATTATCTAGAAAAAAAAAAACCCCACCCTATAAGCAGTTTTTGCCAGGCCTTCAGCACTTTTTCAAATTTTGATGACCATGAAGCTGCGTATTGCCGACATGCGTTGAACACATTAAAACAAATGAAACAAATAATGAGACTGTAACATTGCATTCACAGGGGATGTTTAAATTTAAAAATAAAATTAAAAAATGTGGGATTTATTATAAATAATGGATTTTTGTCTTTATATTGATTGTAGTGAAAAGCTACAAAAGTCTGGACCAATATTAATGTAAACTGCAAGCTGAGTAATTCGCAGAATCCATATAACTTATGAGTCACTTATTCAAGTAGAGTTAAAGTTGCTAAACTTGGTGTGAACGCAACGGTTTCATTAACAGCTGTTATCGGTCTCATTATGCAGACTGCAGTCTATAAAATATGTAAAGAGATGTACTGTGAAGGCACGGAGGATGTACCATTCTCTGATGACGATCCTGACCTCATAGGAGACAGGTAAGAAAAGGCACATGCATTTGTTTGCAGTCCACACATTTCCCCATTCCCCTTATTAAGGCTTTAATCTGTGTTCACAGGTTAGTAGGAGGTCTCCTGACACTCAGTTCGGACTATGGGTTTGTGTTGGAGGATGATGAAGGGATCTGTGGTTATGCTCTCGGCACCGTAGATGTTAAACCATTTATCAAGAAATGCAAGTTGAGCTGGATTCCCTTCATGCAAGAGAAATACCACAAACCTGACTGTGATAAGGACCTCACAGAGGCTGAGGTATGCTTATAATCCATTTCTTTCTATCGTAATATTGAGCGTTATGATTGTGCGTCCTTTTATTAAGATTACTAAAGCACTCTTTCATTATTGTAGAAGATGATACTGAGTTTCCATGAAGAGGAGGAGGGTCTGCCGGACTCTTTCCTCTCCAACTTTCCCTCTCTCATCAAGGTTGACGTTCACGCCAAAGTCACTGACCCCAGTGTGGCCAAAAGCATGATGGGCTGTCTGTTATCTTCTCTTAAGGCCAACGGTAGGTAGCAGCCAATCGTGTCTTTAGCCCCCTGCCTCATAACCACTCCATAGAAGTATTGATTCATTAAGTTTATTTTTCAAGTTTTAGTAAAGTGGAAAACAAAGGTTCACTTATCTACATGTAATGTGTGCATGAGGCCAAAGTCCAAAACGACAAGATTAGAAGCCTAGATGACTGTTTTTTATCATAAAGGCTTCTTTACCCCTTTTAGATTTACTGTAAATAAACCAAGGGTAGTGAACTTTGGTTCTCTTTTCTGTGTCCTTTCTCTCTCAGGATCCCACGGCTCGTTCTGTAAGGTTCGACAGACTGATAAGCGAATGTTGGACTTCTATAGTAAGCTGGGATGCTTTGAAGTGGCCAAAATGGAGGGCTTTCCTAAAGACGTCATCATTATGGGCCGTAGCCTTTGAAGAAACATCCTGCAACAATGACGGACAGAGCGAGTTGACATAGTTTAAACGTGTTTGCTACCTTCATGAGAAAACTTTCATGGTGATTTTTATATCACGTTACCAATCTGGGCTCTTTTTAGGATTTGTGTGGAAGCACAGCGGATGCCTGTGCCGCCCCCCGCCCCCCCCCCTTAGATGTTTTGGCTCTACTGGATTCAGCAAGTCGAAGGCCAAGGCGTGATCTGTAATCTCTTTCACTCAGTAACACATAAGTGGAACCCCTTCTCTGGTCCCACTATTCCTTCCTAGGAGGAAGGAAGAGATGACTCCTTGAGACCTTCTTAACCCACCTCCCCCCCCCCTCCCCCCCCCTTTTTTTTTTTTTTAAATCCAGTGGCCATTACATGAATTTTACCCACATGCCTGAAATCAGCGTCTGTATCTGAAGGCTGAGCTGTGAAATGAGGGTAGCCCGCATCTAGTGTCGTAACTACCGCTACATCCTGCTTTCCCAGATGTGACATGGAGAAATGGTATAGTCGTTGGCTTAGGTGAAACATCTTTATGCAGGATGTGAAGTGCTGTTTGAGAGTTTGCCTTTCGTTTTCACATCGTGGTATTTTCGGTCGCTCCACCACATACTTGGAGATGGATGCCTTTTTAGGTAGTGTGTTTGTGTGTGTGTGTGTGTGTGTGTGTGTGTGTGTGCACACACATGAAGGGTGAACAGTTGTAGCTTTTTAAGGTTTTGCCAAGCCCTGAATTAAATTGTTGCCACAGGCCAACAAAGCAAACGTCAAAGAGGTCCTTTTGAATTTCTGTTCTAGTAGTAGACATTTGGAAAGCAATAAAAGCTTTCATGTGTTCATTAACATGTTTTTCAGCCATTGCCTTTTTGTTCCTTGCCTTATCATTTTAGCTTATAATTTCAAACACAGCTAGAGATGGCACGTTGACCTTGTTGTTTTTCAAATTCCAGAGATGTAGCCTCACACTCACAGTAAAGCGTCTTGGTTTTTGCTCTACCAGATCCATAACGCAAGCACAGAAACCCTTCAGTAAACTAAGCTGACTAAAAAGCTGATATTGTACCATTTTTAGTTAAGTTAAATTCTATGTTTATCTAATATTGTTGAAATGTTTGTCTTTCTAACTTTGCGTAGTTAAAATGTCAAATTTACCACAGTTTGTTTCGTTCCTGTTTGAAAGCACGAATGTTTAAATCGACACTTCCTGAGAGTAGTACACCACGGGACCAAAATGTGTTAGGCTTTTTGCGTTGCTTTGTTTTTGTTTTGTTTTTTTTCTTTTTGGTTGAAATGATGAAGAATCCGAAATCTTCTGTTCCTCCACTAATATGAAACTGCTCATTTCACCAGACCTGACGGGCAAATTCACTCATGTCATCCCTTAATGCTTTGTTTCAGCGTTGCATACCAGTACATGTATTTTCAGCGAGGCGCTCTTGGGATCACTGAGGTTGTTGAATCCTGTCACCAAATGTGAAAATGGCAATGGTTTCAACACTGTTTAGTTCAGTTGACGTGGTTTGGAGCCGAAATTCATACCCTTCCTCCCTCACAAGCTCTTCATTGAATGTGTTTTTAAGTCAAAGCTATAATTTGCTTTTATGAATTTTTTTTTTTTTTCTTTTAAAAAGCACTGTCACTCATAGGAGTGTTTAACCGGTTAACTGAGGATCTGTGGTTGTTACTCAGTAGCTGCCTGCCAATGTGATGTTTTGAAACTGTGCATTCATAATGTGCATGAGTTGTAATGGATTTGTTGTGGCAGATGCTGGGGGGGGGAAAAACTCATCTTCATGCTACATAGAGGAAGAAGCATGCCACTCAACCCTATGAATATAATACTGTTGTTCTCGGAGAGTCTGTAAACTCTGTCGATCATAAAGTGTTGTTTTGTTTTCTATATTGAAACTGATGCTGGTTTAGTTAATCTCTTGTCCTGTACAGCCGTTTTACCTGTCAGCCAGGTGTGAAACTTGCCCACGGGATCTGCTATCTGTCTGCTGAAACAGCAGTATAATTTTCACACTTGTCTTAAATGGTTCATTTTGCAGTTTGCTGATGCTTGAGCTTTCTCCTCTGCCAACTAGATTTGATTAATACTTGGCTGTGAAAGAGAAAGGGCTCCAGTGGTAGATTTTCAGTTAAGGGGTGGGGGGATCATTAAAGTGAGTTTTCCATTGTAAAGTTTGTATGTAAAGTATATAAAATGGAAAAACTAATAAACGATAAGTGACTGTTGCTTTGTCCTGTGCGCCACTATTTATCTAGAAATATTTTTTTAATACCTGTCTGCAGTGAAAGATTTCATGTAAGGTTTTTAGAAGTAAAGGGGAAAGTAATATCTTTACATAAAGGAATATTGACCTGTTCAGATGGGTCGAAGTGACCTTTGGTTTAATGTCCTTGTTAAAAGAATCTTTATTGCAAACAATTATGTAATAATCAACAGCCAGTGGTTAGGTACACCTGTTCAACTAGTCATTAAGGCAAATATCTAATCGGCCAATCACATGGCAGCAACTCAGTGCCTTTAGGCATGTAGACATGGTCAACATACCTGCTCAAAATCAAACCAAGCATCAGAATGGAGCTAAAAGGTGATTTATTTTTTTTAAAGTACTTGAAATGTGCAATCTGTGATGCCAGACAGGCTGGACTGAGTATTCAGAAGCTGATTATCTACTGGGATTTTTCCCAAAGTAATTTCTAGGGTTTATAGGAAGTGGTTTTAAAAATCAAAATCAGTGAGTAGCAGTTTTTTTAAAACGTAGAAATGACTTGAGGTCAGAGGAGAATAGCCAGACTGCTTTCGAGCTGATATGAAAACAACCATAACCACTGATTTACAACCAGTGTGTGCACAAGAGCATCTCTGAACACTGAAGCAGATGGCTTACAGCAGCAGAAGACCATGCTGGGGTGCCACTCATGTCAAGTAAGGGCAGGAACCCAAGGCTGCAAGTTACATGAGATTGCCAGAACTGGAAAAAACGTTCTGGATTTCTGCTGCAACATTTGTAATGGTATGATCAGAATTTGGCGTTAAAAAGCTGAAAGCACGAGCTCATTCCTGCCTTGTATCAAAGATTCAGGCTCCTGGTGGTAATGGTGTGACGGGTGTTTTCTCTGCACACTTTGGGCCCCTTAGTACCAACTGAGCATCATTTAAACACCAGTCTGAGTATTGTTGCTGACCATGTCCATCCTTTTATGACCACAGTATGTCCATTTTTGATGTCTGCTTCCAACAGGATAACACTCAATGTCACAAAGCTCAAATCATCTCAAACTGGTATCTTGAACATGACACTGAGTTCACTGCACTTAAATGGCCTCCAGTCACCAGATTTCAACAACAGAGCACCTCTGGGATGTGACGGAACATGAGATTCCCATCATGGATGTGCAGCAACTGTGTGGTGCTGTAATGTCAATATGGACAAAAGTCTCTGAGGAAGGTTTCCCCCTGGGTGAATCTATGACACGAAGACAGCTCTGAAGGGACTAAGTTTAAGCAGATATTATTAGCATTAGCAGATAGTATTGTTCACCTGTAATATTCTATATTTCACTGTATTTTACATTAAGTTCAATAGTTTTTAAGTTTATTAGCCACCGCTGTGAATCAGCTCAGGTAAATGAGAAGTTCATCACGTGTTTTACTCAGGCAGCGGCAGCGCCTGATTTCTGTAAAAGGAGGCACGGGCGCGCACTGATGACGTATCAGGCACGCGTGTAGGCTGCGACGTGCTTGTTATTTATCGTGGAGAGCTCATTAGACAGGAAAGCGCCAGCAGAATACTTAACTTTTACCGCTTCTGCAAAATGTCTTTCCACGACGATGAATCCTCGGACGTCGGACCGAGCGGTCAATCCAGGCTGGAGAGCTTCCTGTTCAGTAAGGGCCTGTTAAACAGTCTGTCAGAGATGTTCTGTAGGCGCACACGTGGGTTTCTGCTGTGATGTTCCTACAGAAATTTCTTCCTCCTTGTTTTACTGGGGATTTTGTTTTGGGTTGTTTTGTTTGTTTGTTTTTTTGTTTTTGGGGGGGTTAATAAAATCCGTTGTCATTTAATTGCCGGTCTTACTGTTATTCCAGGTTGCGAGCTGTCCTCCAAAGTACCTTTCTACACTTTCCAAGGAGATGAGGAGGAGGACCTGGAGCACTTCCTTGAACTCAGAACAGTATGTACAGTTTTGTTACCGTCATTGGGATTTACCAGCGGCACGAACACACCAGTCAGTCACACTTTAGTCTGTCCGCAACAGTGATGTTCGGTGTTGTGATTGCTGCAGGTTTGCTTGGGTAACGGTGCCAAGGAGGAGAGCAATGTGGTGGAGGTGACAGCCATGAACCACCAAGGAAAGACTATCTCGGTGCCCGTTGCCAACCTTCACATCAAGTGTCTCCCCATGGTGTGTAAACTGAGGCTGATGTGCCACACAGCTGAAGTTTGATCTGTCTTAACTTTGATGCTTTCTGTCGACAGGTGAGTCTGGGAGAGTTTGAGCTGAAAGCCCCAGTCACCATCCGACTCAAGGCCGGCACAGGGCCAGTTTCTGTCAGTGGGCTACACCTTATTGGTAATACTCTACTTTCTTTGTGCTTTAACACTTTAACACTGCCAGTACTGACATTCTAAGAAGCTCACTGACAATATCTCATCTGTTTTCAGCCCCTTCATTGTATTTATATCAAAATGATAGTAATCAGTGAATAATAGGAACTGATCCAGTGCAGGTACTCTGCTTTTCAAACTGAGTTGGCTGACCCAAATAAACATGCAGCAGGAATTTTGTATTTTTATTTGTAGCTGATTATAAAAAAATTGCTCTGCTTGACATTTAAGGAAGTTAATTAGAGTAATGCTTGGCTGTAGTTGATTGGTTGACTTATTGGTCTATATTAGGGATGGGCAACAGTTTTTCGCAGTGTGACGTAATAAATAAAGCAAAGAGCCAGACATTCAAACCTCTGAGTTCCAATATGTCACCCCTAACCCTGAATTACTCTAAACTGCATGAATTTTGGTAGGTATAACATGTAAGAATAATGTCCTTGTTTCAAAAATCAAGAGCTTTCTTCTAGAAAGTTTGGATAAAACAATCTGCTGAAATCCTGTGTCAGCTTTTAATTTTCTATATTTTAAGTGAAGGCGTTGTAATTAATAACTGGGGGGAAATGATTTGCACACAAGTGAAAGCGGTGCCGAACAACATCTATAAATATGGATCCTCATTCTTATTTATTTGCTGGGAGGCAGGGCTTGTTTAGTTTGCCTAAAACTCTTCCCCCCACAAAGATGTTTAACAATTCCTCCGTAACTTTAAC